AAGTGCAAACCCTCCGTTTATGCAAAGTGCAAACCCTCTGTACCTGCGGGGAAACAACTGCTCTTTTCTTGTAACAAGTACCGAAGACCCATGCACGCCTTTATTGAGACGCCGGGAGGCTGCCGAAATTTCGGGTGAAATATTACTACGCTCGGACATGTTTTGAACTCAAAAAATAACAAAAGAATCTGGACTCAATGAACAAGTGGACTTGTGGACTTACATTTGGTCAAAATCTAAACGATTAATCAAGGTTAAAACCAAATGAAATAAAATCAAAATGAAACCAAAATTCAAATCATTTGAACATACAAATGAACTTGCAAAGATCTCATAAAATTGGGGACCTATACTTAAACTTGCATTCTGGACTCAAATTGAGCATTAATGGCTCGAGCAATTTGAACTCAAGCAAGTAGTTGAGTTGGATCGCAGGGGACTTGAACAAAAGCTTGAACTTTTAAGAATAGCAGGGACTCAAGAAGCTTGAGATTGAATGGGATGCAAATAGTTGAACCCATAACAACATACAAGACTCAAGCATGAATTGAACCTTGAAGTCGGGTTCGATGGAATACATAGGACTGGCCTTTGGATGAATGAGCAAATCATAGCCTAAATGCACAGTTGTCCAAACTAGCAACAAGTCGCAATTGGGAGATGAAATCTCAATGTACGCGAAAGATAAATGCAACGAACTCCTACAATAATCCTTACGAGGTTAAATGCAACGTGCCCAAAAGGACAACAAGTGATTGTGTGATGCATATGTCCCCCAAATACACTATTAAAACCTCCAACGCTAGCAACATCGCCTGTTGATTGAAGAAGGCGATACTGGAGACTAAAAATGGAGGACCCGTCCGTACAAACAAATACAATCAACAACCCACCTGAGATTGGTGAAAGGTGGACGTGATGCAAGGACAATGGTTCTCCTACAAATATTTCCAAGAGGTCGTAGTGGATAAAATGGGTCCATGCAAACAAACACAAGTCACTTATGGATAACAACAGTTGATATATCGTAGGCACAACGAACCACTATGTACATAAGTACATATGTCACCTACGACGACGGTGACTAAAATGCTGCTAAGTACGTCGGGTACAAGGGCAACCCGATGTATGAAAGAGGACATCCCCTGGCAGGAATGGAAGAGATGCTTGAGCAAATTCGAACTAAACTTCTTGGTGTTACAAAAAAAATTTTTGATCCTACACTTAAGAAGAAGACAGTTTTGACATCCATAAATATCAGAAATAACAAGTATACTACACTAAAGACCCTAAAAGGGATTCTTCTCAAGGTAGTGGCCACGGATTTCAAGAAGGACCTCTCTGGTGAATGAGAAAATGGGAGTTAACATCAAGATTAGGAGATGCCTCATAACATCAAGACTGCACCGCCACCGGATCTGCAACACTCGTATTAGCTGACAGAAGGCGTCAACAAAGTCTCAAAATGCCCCACATGTGCACTACAGTTTATATACACATAGGTACACAAAAGGGGTAAATATAATAAAACACCCACATGGGCCCCGGCGAGCGTGTTATTGATACACACGTGACATCTAGGGATGCTGCGCGGGTCAATAAATTCGAACCCGGTCCTCCTAAGCAGATAAAAAGGAGTAGACATGGTATAATTATAAAATCCCCCCCAAAAACCTGCATGGGCCCCGGTGAGCGTGTTATGAGTACACACGTGACGCCTAGGGATGCTGCGTAAGTTGAAAAGTGAATTCAAGTTCGAATCCGATCCTTTTATACGGATCAATAGGAGTCGACAGGGTTTGAATCTTTAAATAAATACATGGTTGTGGTAACCGGTGTATTAGTTTTAATACATTCATATTATGTCTTCAAGGCCTATAATCAAGAAAATTCATTAACAAAGGCACGAAGCCTACGAAACCCGATCCTCCTAAGCAGGTAAATAGGAGTAGACAAGGTTCAAACTCTTATATAGATATAAAGTCACGAATTTAATCGAAATATTTATTTTATACATTCATATCAGGTTTTCAAGGCCTTTAACAAAGAAAATTCACAAACAATGGCAAAAAGCCTATGAAACCTGATCCCATATCAGCAAGTAGATAGGGTCTCAAGGTTCAATCAAATGGAAATGACCCCAAACACCCCGATGATGGCCGTGTTGAACGAAGATCTCAACCGAAGGGGTCCATTTCAAATAATTTCAAAATGCATTTCAAGCTACACCCAAATACCCATAAAATCTAAAACTCCACAAAGTCCAAAAACCAACAAATCCCAAATTCCAAGATATTTAAATTTGAAATATATCCATTAATCACTTAAAATAAAATACATCCACCCTCCGCAACAGTTTGCCGAGGTAGACAAATTCAAATATAACTTCAGCTCACATAGAGCTAATGCCTAGTCGAAAATATCACTAGGATACATTCTCAAACAATCTCCTGCCAATAGGGACGTGGTACGTATCCTCTAACCAGCGGTTTTACCGCCAAATGGCACCGCAGGATAAACGGTTATGACTCGGGGACCTCTGAACCGAGTGATTTTGCCGCCAAATGGCACCACACAATACCGGTTATCGCCAGAGCCGATACGCTCCTTATTGACATCAAATTCTTGATATATGAATCAATAGGATATAATCGATAAGACACAAAGCCCTCTGTTAGCTAAGGTGGATTCAAATTTGCCCCCTTAGGCAAATATTCACCCCAGGTCTACAAGGTACCCTTAGACAAAGCAACCCATGGCTGCCGATAAGGATCCTTCTGTTAGGTTTAGTCGACTACCTCCTTTGACTAAGTAGACCAGGGACCATGATGGCCCGGGACGACGGAACCATGGGATCTTGATCGGGTCTATCATCCATTCCCCCTCCATCCGCTTTAAAAGTGCAAGATGATGCAATTTTCAGTTTTAAATATCAAATCCACAAATATCTCAACCCAAGTTCCCAAATTTCCAAATTCTTAAATCCTAATCTCATTGCTGCTACTATATGCTAGATAACATGTATCTTCTACATATTTGATTGACGACTAACCTTAATCGAAAGTTCTCTCTCGTGATTGGAAGGGGTAATTAACTATATGGGCTTGCGCCTATAGAAAACCAGAACTCAGATCATAAAGTCCTCACAAAATGAGGGCGAAATCTCTAGGTAGTGTCTTATCTACAAACCCATCTGCCTTCCAAAATTTACCCCAGAACTTAATTCTGTTAAAACTCCCTCGCCAAAAGATAAAAGCAATCAATCACTACGCGGCAGGAAGGCCGGGGCCAAATTTTCGGAGCCCATAGACAACAGCTTTAGGTAAGTAATAACAGCCACCTCAAAAATGAGCTATTTAAATTTCTTAGAAATTAGGACTAAACCTGTTTGACAACTGCAAGAAAAAATCACATGAGCTTTTGGCTTCACATGTGAACATATGGTACCAACCCCTCCAACCTTTTCTCATGGATGAAAACTCCATTCTTTCCTAGATATCCAGCCTGTAACTTACACAGCCTAAAGTTTAATTGGCAGCAAATCTTAGAGAAAACCAATTTCATTATTCAAATTTATGGGATTGAAGAAGTTATTTCTTTTCATATGAATTTCACATAAGAAAATGATCAAAATGATCCATTAACTTTTTATGGATGACTAAAATAATCCGCAACTATATAAAAGGATAATTTTAGTCCTCCATGTTATATAAAAATAATCAAAAAAGTCTCATAGGGAGACTATTTTGGTTCCTCGTTGAGGAGTTGAGGGACAAATAATCATCTAATATAGTCGGGGATTATTTTGATATTTCATAGAAAGTCAAAGGACCATTTCAATTAGTTTCTCAATTTCACATCTCTGAAAGAATTATAATCTTTTGAGTTGCAGGCACTTAGGGTTATTCATGAAAGTTTATGGCTTTGTTTTCCATTCTTGTGTTATGTTGTGTCGCATTATAGATAATTGTTTGGTAAGATTGCTTTTTAAAGAGTTGTAGAAGTTGTCATTGCTTTGTAAAAAAAACTGTTGTTGCACTGATATATAAGTACAAAATGACTGAAAAAAATACCCTTACACAAACTTTCATGTTATAATTTACTCATCTAACACATAGAACATATAATGTTATGAAAACATATTTTTGAGAGGTAATCTAAGGCTTCGTTTGGGACGGCTTTTTTATTGCTTTTTGAAACGGAGTTTTAGTACAAAATTTAAAAATTTTGTACTAAAACTCTATTAGCTGTCCCAAACGAAGCCTAAATCACCGTTCCAAATGGACACTATATTAATATACATAGTGTTATTAATACTCCTCCCATGGGGTTAGATTTTCCACAGTACAAAACCCACCCTCCATAGCAACCATTTGGTGTGTTTTAGTCTTCGTTTTGGACAGATTTTTTATTGTTTCTTAAAGAAGCTTTCTAGTACAAAAATAAAAAATTTTGTTCTAAAAACCTACTTTAAGAAGCATTAAAAAAACCGTTCCAAACGAAGCATTAGACTTTTAGCACGCCGCAAGACACCCTACAGACAGCTAGTGCGATGCAGCGTTTGAGATAAACCATTGTGAGAAGCACTGCTGATTTAAAGAATGTGCAAGTTATGTAACATGAAAGAATGCTCAATCATTTCACATGCTCTCATGCACTCTTACAGATAACTGGGTGGTTCTAAATCAAAACATTAGAGTTTCTAGAATCTACCAAATCAGTAGAAATTTTTTTTATAATCTAAAGTTCAACAACTACATGCAACTGTCAAGTGCACTTTTGTGGTTTCTTTATGCAATTATATTTGTATGCTTGCACCAAAGTAGACCTAAAGATGATGTACATGCAAGGCCTCTGTAGTCTACGAAAATCAAGTATCAGAAAGCATTTGTCAGTTATCATAGAAGCACTGAAGAAAATAGTACCTGAATAATAAAGCCAATTATGAAGCCTTGACAATATCTGGAGGACGTTTCTCTGAAGTGAAAACAGAAAATTAATTCACCAAATACTCTAGATCTATTAAAACAGAAGGGTAACTTCTAATCACCAATACTACATGTAATATTGAACTATAAGAACTTGACTATCATTGCGGCACAACAAGAAAGCAGGCCTTCGGATAAATTATCTTTATAAAAAATGAACATGCCTATGCAAGGCATATATATTTCACACGAAAGTGAAATGTTCACTCCATCGTGATATGAAAATATTGTTAATAATCCAAAGCAATTGGCAGAGGAGCTTAGAGTATTGGTATAAATGAAACGAACAAGAGCTAACTACAATATTGATCAATTTGATTGATTAACTATCAATCCAAATATAAATGAACTCAAGTTCATTAACTAGGTAAAATTTTGTTCATGTTCGCCTTGTTCACAAACAAGCCAACAAATATAAACAACAATTCAAGTTGATCTAGTTAAAATTTTGTTCGTATTCACATTGCTCACAAGCAAGTCAAACCCAACTCAAATATGAACAACAAGTCAAGTTGAAGACCATAAACTGCATCAAAAAATTTTTTAATGATCTTCAATTGTACGAGATTGTGATTTTCATAGTAAAAACAATATTCAAGCATAATAGAATTTAAAATACAACTTCCATGTTAAAATATATTTGACTCCTTATAATAGTAAAATATGAATTAGTAAACATTTATTTGTATAAGTAGATGTATAGAGATGATGATATATATAATTAAGCATCGAGTTCTTTTGGAACCAAATAGGCAAATATAATCGAGTTGGGTTTAGTTCATTTTTGGTTTGTTTAGTAAATGAGCAGAAAATTCGTGTTCAACTTTATATCACTTGCTAAACAAACATGCAGAATATAAGCAACTATCGACTCGAACGCCAACTATTCACAAACATCGAGATTTTTTTTGTCAGCCATACAGGAAATTTATTGAAGAGCTAGATTTTAACTACTCAGGAAGTGCAAGCAGTGGGCTATAACTGATACAATGGAATACAAATTTGCAGGGAGTTGGTGGGGGTATCTTATGTTGCCTAAGAGTTTCTTTCAATGACTGATGTTGCCAAGCAAGCCCAAAAAAAGACAAACATAACGATTTTAAGGGGGGAAAAAGATTGTAAACAAAAAATTCATCAAATGCACATATGCTGAGTGCATGGAACCCTCATTACAATCTATAATTTTGTTTTGAAACATGAAAACGCTAAAATGAACCTAACCATTTATTTTGTTTTACTCACATGTTTTGAACAACACATTAAAACATAGACAAGGTGACAACCACTGTGACTTGAGGTACATGAGTTTTGATTTCTTAATCATCAAAGCAGATCTCTGTAATATAAGAGTTAAGATTGGTTACATCAACTCTTACCTAAAATAGCATTTACGGGGGCCTCACATTTTATGTACTCTTTGTGTTTGAACACTGACAAACAAAACGCAATTCATGAAGAATCATGAATTACCTTCAGGTAAACTAGTAGATAGAATTCGATCAATGTTATCCAGACGCCTCTGTATTGATTTCAACACCAAATTTAGAGCAGAAACTCTCCTACGAACAGATGTAATCTTGGCAGCATTTTGCATTACGAAGGACAAAGGTGCATCTTCCAGTAATTTGTCCAACTCTGCTAGAATAATATATCCTTTTTTAGTTCACAAACATTTAAGATATGCAACAGTTATAATGTATGTAATATAAAAATGCTACTAGAAAGATTTTTATTCACTAATGTTAAGGATATACCAAAAGTATAAATTATGTATAACAGAAATGTTACTGAAATCGTATGTTGATATGAAGCGCATTTAGTGTCACTAATTGACAGGGTCATATTTCTGCCTTATAGATCAAATTGTCTTTGTGTTAGCATGATCATACAAGAAGCATTGATTTATATGAAAAAGGCACCAGGTGAACAAGATGATGAAATTGATTGACAGAACTATAACAAACAATTCCGTGGCAGTTGAGTCAAGAACAATATCAAGATTTTCTTAAATTGCCTACATGGCACATGGCCAAATTGTCGAAGTGGATAACAGAGTCCTAGGAAATGCGTCGTAGTCAAAAGAACCCAAATTTTTAAAAAAATAATTGTGTTATGGAAAAAAATTTAATCGATTGCTTTTACTTGAATGCTTTCTTATAACCGAAGAATTACAACACTGGATACTTCTTTGGTCCTTCATGGAATAACACTTTTGGTGTAAACTCTAACATATAGGTGGGAAGAAATAAAACAAGGTTATAGCAAATTGGGTTGAAGCACAAAACTAAGAAAGAACCTTACTAATGTGATGTATACAGAGCAATGGCAAGCTATCATCTCCATCAGCCTTATCCCACTATTTAGGCCGGCTTTAAGAATCCACCTTCTCCATTCAATTCTGTTGAGTGGCGCTTTAGGTGCCAACTCTATTTTGTGCATTTATCACATAACTTTGCATGTTACACTTTGTCTACCCACATTTCTTCCTAATTCTTTTACCATAATTCTATTTATCAACGACATTGATGCATCTTCTTTCTTTTATTGTACATGCCAACATACAGTAAGTTAATTATTTGTTTTCAATATGTGATGCGCCAATGATAGCTAAAGACTTTGGTAGAATAATAAAAAATTTATTAATTTATTATTATTCTTGTTGATAATCGTTACTACATCCACGTACATATTTAAAAAAAGTCTAATAAAAGAAATAACTATCTAAATTATTTCCTAAAATTTAGGAAACAGGATCATAGAGAAATAAATATTTCCTAAAAATTAAGAAATAGAATTGTAGGAGAATATCACAATTGATCTCTCATTTTATTCCTAAAATTACATTCTTAAAATAAATTCCATAATTAGGAAACAAAATCATAAGAGAATATCACAATGATTCTCTCCTTTTATTCCTAAAAATATTTTCCTAAAATAAATTCTCTAACTTTGACTTTCAAATATTCAACAAATAATTTCTTACTACAATCCTAAATTATTATACTATGCACCCGTCCTAACATTCTCTTCTCTACTGCATAACTTGGTTGTTTGAATCTTCTTTGTATCCCCATACTCGTTCATCAATGTTTAAAATTGCGTATTCGGGTATTGAGGCGTTTTTCATTTATGAGGCGAGGCGTAAGCCTCAAGGCATTTTAAGGCGTAAGCCTCAAAATCAAAAGATTGCGTAAACATAAAATGATAAATTTTTTATATACTAATGAGTGAATAATATAAAACATAAAAAAGCATAAGATATGAAGTGAAATCAAAATATCCCAATAATAAGACAACATGAAATATAGTTCAACTCAAAATTCTATCTTTCCCAAATCCCAGTATTCTTTTCATTAACATATAATTCCAATTTCCAAAAATAAATAGCAATGACATATCACATAAGAACTCATAAGTCATCAGCACTATCATCACTAAGGGGTTCTTCATTTGAATCATCATTATGATGAACTGCTCTCTCCCCTTCCTCCTCTCCTATAGAGTCCAATGTCGGACACTTACTTCAAGATTTATGTAAGTTTTAATTTATATAGCGTAAGGCGTAAGCCTCTTGCCAGTGAGGTGAGGCGGGTCTCAACCAAGTTGAGGCGCAAGCCTCATAAAAAAAACTCGATGCGTAAGCATCGAGGCGTTTTTTACTGGAATTGCGCAAAGGCGAGCCTCATATTGCATCAATGACTTAATCTTTGTTCATATAAATGTAAACTCATTTTCCACTAAAATTTATTTATTCAATCTCTTTACTTTGAAAAATGTCTCACCTACTAAAGTAAAGTCATTAACAAATAGAATATTTCAATATACCTCAATTTGAATATCTTTTGTAATATCTCTACAACCAAAATAAGAAGTTATAAACTTAATATACTAAAGTGATTAAAAGAGATATTAGAGAGTATGTCATAGACTGAGTAAAAAGGTATATTGATGTAATTTAATTTTCATTAGAAATATCTTCTGCCATCTTTTAACTATCATGTAACTTAAAAACATTTTATTCATTCTTTAAATGTACATTTCCTATCCTTGATAACTTATTTTATCTCTTCAATCCACCATCAAATCTCCTTACTCATGCACAAAATATTTCTAAACTCATGGATAACTTATATGAGAAGCAACATTATACAACTAAGTATTTTATCTCATATCAACTTTGGTCAGCTTTAAAGTTCTGATATTCCTATTTTCACAAAGAAAATTTGGAAGACTAATAACTTCCTTTTTTTGGCAACACCATATTATCCTAAGGAAATCTTTTTTTTTATTATTTATAATCAATATATAACTATTATTTGATATTGTTTGGTCAAATTGTTTGAAAGAACCAACTGTCAATCTTTACAAAAAGACTTTCCGTTCTTAGAATAGAAATTTTCATTTGCCGCTTAGCAACTCCGCATTTGAAAGTAACTAAGAGTTGTTCTCACTTCTTACGCAAAATTGCTTATTACAAATAAATTATTATGATGAAATGGTCCACGGTCTAATGGTTGGAGAAGTTATTTCTTCAAGGTCGTTGGTTCAATGCTTCAAGCCACACGTTTTGTAATTTATCGCCCATCATTATCCATAAAAAATAAAAAGTTATGAAATCAGAGTATGTAATCACACAGTTTTATATATTATATCATACCAATCATGGTTCCTCTAATACCCACCTTGTTGAAACCTACATTTTAATATAAGTGATCACAAAAAGTTGCCTTTTTCTTGAATTATATGTTACAATAATCCCACCATTTTATTCCCAAAAATTGATTTATCAAAACCTTTTTATAACCTAACTTGAGGAACATAATGATGTGGACATCGACCAGAGGTTCAGACATGTGTA